TGATTGCATTGAATAAATGACGAAATGAGGATATGAGGCTATTGTTGAAGTGTTGTATACTGCTTAAATAGTGTTTCGAATTCTGTGAGAGGAGCGGAACGATACATGGTGTCTTATAAAATATAATGATGCTGATAGTGGAAGGGTTTATCGACCAGTCAGCTGTTCAAACATTGTCAGTAACAATGGGAAGTGTCACCGCTTTTGTCATGAATTTCGCAGTTGATTTGTTATGTTCTAAAATGGTAGCATGGGCAGCTTTCATATACACCTATGAATCATTGAAGATGGTTACTAAGAATAAAACAATGCGTCATCGTATGTTTGTTTCACCCGGATACATGTTCATGTTCAATCCACCTATACAATATTCATACCCACGAAATTGAAATAAAAATCATGAAAAGGGGCGTGTTATTAAGCAGATTAAATTTGTTTAAATTATGAAACCGATCGCTTTATGTTGTTATTAGATATGCCATATGAAGAAAAAAAAAATGATTGGGGAATACTATGTGGGGATAATTCGGGTATTAAACTCGCTTGCAAAAGGTATTTTTGGATATATACATACACTCCAATCACGCAAGACAGTGAATACATCGAATTATGACGTTTCAAACATTTAGTAAATAAGATCAATAAATCACCATTACTACTAAGTTCCCTATTCAAAATAACTAAAAAGTGGGCTAGGGGAGCTCTTCGTTCGCTGTGTTCTCTTCCAGTCTCCTCTTCCAGTTCGTTCCTTCCACTCCACCCTCTTCCGTCCGTCTCCTCCTTTATCCCACCAAACCGGGATTCCAATCCGTTGCGCGATTCCTTTGTCATTGTCATTCAAATCAGTTGCGCAATTGACGCATAACCAGATTCACGCCCTCATACGTAGTATGTGTGCACGTGAATCGGGTGACATATTGATGAAGTTGTTACAGTTGTGTGATTCATTTTACACATGACAATATGAACTCACAATATAAACCGCTTTTGATATACATAGCTCGGTAACTGATATTTTGTTATGACATCTGCTGTGATGAACCGAGAATGGGAACAGATTTATCGCCAGGTTTATGGGAATGTGATATTTTTATTAATTTAGACAAATATTGGGAAACCCTGAAATGATAAACAGTGTGTCTAGTTGCGTGCGATATAATTAACTCAAAACAGATTTTTTTTTAGTTTAAGACTTTATTTAAGACTATATTTAAAAAATCATATCCTAAAAACAGAAATTACAGATAACATAATACACAAAAACATGTGTGCCATTGTGTGGTGTTTTTATACTATTGAGAACTTAAACAATATAAAAATTAAAATTTGTTATAACAATTATTGCATTTTAAAATATTGGCTTGACCCGCAATACCATCAATTGGGTACCCCCTTATTAGTAGCTTTAATACATGTGTGTCTCAATTGCGACAAACTATGCGTTATTATTCATGATAGTGAACGAGCGACTGACCTTCATGGAAATGACATTCATTGATATAGTTCGCGTTGAATAAAATGGCTACAAATGACATTCGAACAAACGAAAATAAAGCAACACAAAGCACATACAATCAGGATATTCATTCGGTCATTCGACATTACCCCCTAGATAAGATATCAGGTAATAGTACTTTGCCCACTACCCACTCTTATTGTGTCTGTCCAGTGCCTCTCCTCTTGTCAGGTGAGCAACAAATATTAGTATCAAGTATCACAGCAACGAACACTCATCTACACACAAAAACAAAGCAACACAGAGCACATACATTCGGTCATTCGACATTACCTTCAAATAAAATATCAGGTAATCGAACGTTACTACGTCACGTACTAAGGTCAGACAGACAGACAGACAGACAGACAGACAGACAGACAGACAGACAGACAGACAGACAGACAGACAGACAGACAGACAGGCAGACTAGAGTATACACCACCCAGTGTGTATCTACCGTAATAACGTACCCTTCTAGTTATTCATTTATTCATAAATGTTCATTGCAATTGGTTATCATGACGACGAGGTTTGGGGTATAACATAACTTTGTCATCCTAATCACTCAATACTTGTCCGAACTATGACCACCCTAGATAGATAATCACACAATAGGTTACTTGTTTTAAAAAAGGGACTGACGTAATTATGATTAATGGTTATTTTAATCTATGCACAGATTGATATCGCCAGTAAATGGTAAGATTTTGCCAGTCTGCACACAGAGCGACACACTGAATCAAGGTGAGTGTTACTGTTGAGTATGTTTATTGTCAGCGTGCACTCGAATTGAGTTATTCTGTACTTTTTATGACGCACTATCACATATATAGTCAATTATGAATTGGGAAAGTGTCATAGTATACTATGGCTGCATGTATTCAAATTAGATAGATAATGAACTTAATCATATACGGACTGCTGTATAGTTCTATTACCCTAACTACATGCATAACTAATTTCATATGACCAAATCTCAATTCCGCGGCATTCAGCTAGATCTCGTGCAACCGTGAAAATACCATCATTCAGCACGTTTTTATGGGGAATTAACACCCATTTTGCGTACAAGAACCTTGAATTTGTACATAAGATATAGAATGCAAGCACATTAACAAGTTTAACACCACGAAGAATTTTCACAGAATAGAACGAAATAGTTTTATCTCTGCAAGAACCCCACACCACTGAACACAAGAATACCAGTGTTTGTGACATCGTACACATGCCAACCAGCCCCTTGCACGAAATGCGGTATCCATGGTTTTTTACAATCTCGACATATACATGGTACTAGCATGATGTTACCCCTGTTAATAAGCAACACATCATATGTGCACAGTCTGCCATTACCATGCACACGTCCACGAAGGTACTCAGCTTCAAATACGCCATTGACAACCAGTGAGTAAACAACAGTTGTCAGACATCTGCGCCAAACTATCCATATGAAACCTTGAAATAATCAAATGTGCACCGCTCCTCTCAGGAGACTTATTCTGTTCAGATGCACTATTTGCAAGCTATAACTAACTCCCCGGTATTATATGGTGGAATCGCCATCGAGCAAGGTCTGACTCAGCACGGTATTGGAAATCTCATAGCACATTTATTGTTCACCGACAGCGCCAGTTACCCTATACCATGGAGATAGAAAAGACCTCCATGCCTATACTGAGACCGGTTGTAGCTAGGCAGAAGGCTACAAACTCACACCAACATTGATTCTTTGGCTACTTTGGCCTTCTGAGCATGTTTTAATCTGACGTAGGTTTACAGGATGCCAGCCAGGTTGTCATCTTTGTCCTTGAACCATTCTCAGCCACGCGACTACAGATTCGTACTAGTAACTCGGAAAATATTAAAATTCAGTTCTCACCACTATCGGTAGTATTGCAGTGTGGGGCATTTGTTTATTAGTCACTGGCTATTACATGCACTACCTTCAAGTTTCCAGACACTGGCTATTAGACTACTATTTTCGCATCACCTGGTACCCTCTGTGCGAGAAATTGGAGCTAACTAATGTGAATGCATGTTCTACTCGGCACCCCCCCCCATGCCTAGCATCGAGGGTCGGGCGATGAATGAAAAAAATCTTGTAATGTCGAATGATTCCCGCTCTTGTCAAAGTTAGACAACTATGTAACTATAGTTAAAAAGTATAAGGAATGAGCAGTGACCAATACACAATTAGACTGTCTAGAAGCAGTCTCTAATAGTAAACAGTTAAAGTTAAACACGTGGATTAATTTCGCTTATAATGGTCATTCAAGCTCATGCATATTTAATCACTTTCATGCTTAGACAAACATGATGTGGTGTGCATATTATTGTCGATTGTAACTAAATTTTATTTTTATGTTGGTATGTGTGAATTCATACACTATAACAGTGAGTCAAATCAATGTATTGATCCCTTGTTAACTTCGAATTAATGAATTACTGTCAATGATATTGTGTACACATATTTTTCATTATATGAATCAATGTAATATGAGACAATATCTCTATATAATATATCTGTTTATAATGCATTTTAGAAATAGTTATAATAAATTTTAAAAATGTGACTGATACATACACATTTTCTTAGATTAAATTGATTCATATAATTACAGGGAATATATTTTCATGAATAATATTTTATACACGACTTTTATTTTTTATCCCCACACACAACTCTTATGACAGAGTTCCTTGCTCCTATGTAACCAAGGTTCGCTATGACAGTGATGATGATTACGTTATAGATTTACAACTCTCGACTTCAAGCAAATTGTAATCCTTTAATTCACAGACCATTTTGTAAACCAAATCACAAAATGAATTACCACATGTTGTTATGATATTATTATCATGCATTATGTTACTACAGTCACACTGGTTACATCATTTCGGGTATCGATGCCTTGTTTGAGACACCCAATGTCGCAACTGTTACATCATTATGTCTTTTGTTACAGATGTATACACTTTGCCACCTACCCACACTAATAATGTCTGTCCTGTGCCTCTCCACTTGTCAGGTGAGCAACAAATATTAGTATCAGATATCACAGCAACGAACACTCATCTAATAGTTTAGATACTGTAAAACATATTGAAAAAGGGACATGCTATTGAAATGATTTAGCGAATATTTCTTGTCATATGGTTGATTTCCTGTTCTCACAATACTTGTCTGTCGCGCGCCAAAACAAATGCGCAGTTATCACCTCCTTAAAAACAATGAAAAAGTGTAATTTGATTCTGTTCGCAATCATAAAAAAAACTGATTCAACAGGGATTTGAAAAAGCTTGTATTGTTGCTGCGTTTCATTCAGAATATGACCTTTTATATTGGGACTCAAAAACTACTAAGTACTAATAATTTCCGTAAGTATCACTTTAATTATTTATTTTCATTGAAATAATGACCACAATGAATACGTTTATTTTTGTATGTTAATTTACATTTCAATAAAGTGTATCTATCATGTCGGTACGTTTTCTTTTATGTTTACAAAGTGTGTGTGGAGAAAATATACGTTTTTTGGCGGCCATTTTGAATTTATAATAAAGTCATTAGCGACTTCTTGAATTAGCGAATCAGTTCTCTCGCTAAATTTGCTGAAAATACATCCTCGCGAAAAAGACATGTTTTACAGTAGGTAGATTCGATCTCCAAATTGAAGATTAAAAAAGAAAGAAAAGAAGGAAGAACTGAATAAACATTAAACAAACACTTATATCATAACGAATATGATGTTACTAAAGATCTTAAGCATCTCTTATAGATTTGCTGACTTTTTGAAAATCAATACTATAAGTTTTCAAATTATGAGGTCCAACAAGACTTATATCAAACATTTTGCATAGTTAGACGGAGGGACGAATAGACAGACACACATAAATAAATAAATAAATAAATAAATAAATAAATAAATAAATAAATAAATAAATAAATAAATAAATAAATAAATAAATAAATAAATAAATAAAGTATTGTCAGGAATCAGTAAAGATATTTACTGTGCGGAGATTATTCCAGGCACTTGTTGACCAAGATGGATGCGGTGTAACGAAAAACTGCTGGGAAAACCCTACAGGATGCGTGGTACCAGACTGTGATTTCTTGATTACATGGCAGTCTGAAGAATCATCGAATAGTACTGAATTTGGACTTTTCGGAAAACTGGCAGATTTAGAACATTACCTTGCTATTGGATTCTCAATTGATGCATCAATGGTAAGTGGACATGAATATATTTGCATATGTTAAACTCAGCTTAGGCTTCGCATGTCTTACCTTCGCTGTATTGAATGTTACGATGTATAATGTTCTTCTATATACCTAGTTTTGATTATTTGCAGCCTGGAACCGATGTATGGGCATGCATGGGTCTCAGTGATTCAAGTATTGTCCTGGACCATTCCTACAACCCCTTTTACTACAACGAGCAATTATCTACAGTAAGCATATCTATCAAATATCGCGAGTCATTTGTTCCTGTGTTTTAAAACACGGCTTTATTATATATTAGTATACCCCGCGAGGGGGTTTGATAAATGATGATGATATTGACTATGCAGTAAATAAAGGGCGGCACACTGCTTGTTGTACGAAACTTGCCCAAATATTTCAAGAAAAGCTGGGATGGGAAGCATATACTGATTATTCAAAAATTCTTCATTCATGCGATTTGCTAGCCAAAATAATGTACCAAAATATGCTAATATACTTCATTAAGTAAGTTTATCTCTCCAAAAAGGCAGGTGCCGGCAATTTAGTATCTACGTTTGCTGATAATACTCTAGAGTGCACGTTCAGTAGACTTCATAGCAATCCAGGCACAGACCCTTTCGCCGATTTAGCTGGAAACTCGTATTATCTACAAGTCGCAAGAGGACCAAGATTGGATAGCGATCCACGTAAGTAGAACTTTTAATGAGAACATTGATTTTGATTTGTCTGTTTTTCTGACATATTCTCGGCAGAAAACAATTTTACAAATGTCTCAATAAATAAGATTAATAAAGTACACTGCGAGGTCAAGGGTTATGTTTCGCCACTAAATAAGTTAAGCCCTATTGCGCAGAAAATGGGCCTTTCAAAGCATCTGTGTCTCTGTTGTCTGAATTCATAACATCGACTTTCAGATCCACTAGCTAGGTGGATACACTGGTCATACTGAAAAAGTTTAGTAAGTGATTTGTGGTTGAATGCAACGTGTAGTTTATTGTTATGATAGCGACCTCACATTCGCACTTTCCAATCCCACGCCGTTGCACTATTATTTAGAATCAACCACGCAAATTATTTACGTGTATTCAAAATTTTGTTTTCAATGATTATTGCATGTTTAATTGTATTTGCTTTATATTATACAGCTAAGCTGGACAAGCACACAGTGACACCAATAGTATCTCCAGGTCTCATCGACTTTACAAGTAATATATACAGTGGCGCTCCAGTAGCAGCTATCCATGGAGTTGTGTTGTTCTGTTCACTGATTTGTCTTGCATTCATTGCTTGTATGTATTGATACAGCCGTGTTAAAAGTTGAACTGAATATATGAACGCACATGATATAATAATGACTATTACCAACTGATGTCCTTGGTCATCATTGAGTGATAACTCTACTGTTGTTATCGATGTAATTTGTATGTATCAATAATTACAAAATAACAATTTGTGTATCTGATTGCATTGAATAAATGACGAAATGAGGAATATGAGGCTATCGTTGAATTAAGCGAGATGGCACATGGTGTGTTATCAAATATAGTGGTGCTGATAGTGCAAGGTTTTATCGTCCAGTTCACCGTTTCAAACATTGCCAGTGACAACAGGAAAAATCACCGCTTCTGTCATGAATTTTGCAGTTGACTTTTTTATGTTCTAAAATGATAGCATGTGTAGCCACTTTCAGCACAACTGTATTTTGATTATTTCACAACTTTGTAAGAAAAAGGTGAAGCTGCTACCTTATTACTCAATTAGTTGTATGTGGATTGTTGTATTAGTACAGGTAACAACACCCCGGACAGGTATCATCACACGGGACAGCGTGGTGTTGAGTATCGAAAAAAAAACAATAAGTAATATATAAAAATTTAAAAAACGAAGCCTATACTATATTTCGTAGGATTTTACTATGGTCATTACACAGTGATATGTACACAAAAAATATACGAAATTGTTACCATCGTTATCAATCACAAACTGAAGAAACGTCTACCTGAATACGAAAACATCTCCTAAAACTTCATACTACAAAATGACATTGAGAGAAAATATTCGAAAACACAGTATAGATACTTGGTCGTGTCAATTTAACAAGTGATTGAAGCCAATCTACGGTGTGGTTGTCCCAAATACAATACATAGCTGAACTCTGGTGACCTTGCCCTTTGTTATATAATATTATTCTCTTTATCATAGTTTGTTTCAATATGAATATGCACTGTCATAATTAATTTTGAATACAAACAAGTTTCGGGGTTGAAACAACAGTGGGGAATCAATCTACTGAATGTTCTTGTAAATATCTTACAAAAACATTGGTGCCTAATTTGTTTAATTATTTTAAGGGACATAATTTCCAGCTTTATTCAAAGTAATTTTCAAAGATATTTTAGTATAAAAACAAATGTCTCATCTCAGAAAAATAAGTGCCGCATTTAAACGTGAATAGATTCATAAAACATGCAATATAGCAGAAAATCTTAGCTGGCCTTTGTCCAGGTGTCTGTCAAAAATTTATGATTTACTGAGACAAATATGAACTGCCTTATTATATTTTGTGTGACTACTGTATTATATGAAAAGAAAAAACGCCCTCTATGAATAGCTATCTTGTTGCAAGCGCTGCTTTGTATGCAAATCAACTTAAATAGTTGGTGTGTAGTGGAGAGAGAAGTCAACAGTACTGTTGCTTCCTGAGAATCTACATCTTCAAACACTACAATCTTTGTTTTAGTATTATAAAAGCTCTATCATTATGTTCTAATAGGTGAAAAAATTTCTGTGAATTTTCATTTGTCGAATGAACTGTTTGTCAAATACAGAATACATATTTTTAGTACAAATTCTTTTCAAAATGTGGATGCAACGTTTTACTTATTATGTATATTTTATGTATTGTTTTTTATTTAATATCTTTGAACTAAACAGATTTTCTATTTGGTACAGATCTTGATGTAAAGATGTTATAGGTGGGTTTGCAAATGTGTATCAGACTTTGCAAAAACTCACTCTATGAGTTGGTTTTGAAACCCAGTCTAGTATTCCTATGAGATTTGGGAGATACATTACCACCGATATTATTACAAGATAAAAGATTAGCTTCATTGAACACATACAACAATGCATATTTCCACTGAGATCAGTGACTTTTGAATGTGTATCACCAGTGATCAGTCAAGTAGAAACAATCAAAATAATTTATCGGAGTTTCTCAATTTTTGCATGATATTTTCATACAGGACTTTATACTGATGAAAAAGGTGACCAAGTTTGATTACGTTTGGAATAGAATTAGTAAAGTTATTTTGCACACAATAACAATTATTAAAGACGACAACAGCGACGACGACAACAACAATGACAACGCCGGACAGAAACATTTCCCCTTAATATACATTTCCCTTTCATCTTTGATAGTACGGGCAAGGTAAATAAATGTATATGGTATGTAACCCATGGATTGTTAGGCCAGAATGTTCGAGGAGGGTGCACGTGGTACTTCGTTCTTAAACCATGCGTATACATAAACTAAACAATGAGTTACTCACTTGATACTTAGCCATTTTATTTTAACAGTAATAATAATCGATACTCCTTATGATATTGGTCTGCATACACGGTATGTGTTATGATACATTTGTGTGGAGATAAATAATGGATGACCAGTGTAACAAAAATACCCGGATGTACATGATATGGCAAACCTGATGCACCACTTTATTTATGACGTGTCACTCATGGCATTCACTCACAGTCCGGACTGTCTGTATATCTGTATCAGTGGAGCGGCCCCACTACACGGCTATCTTAAAGTACACAGGGTTCCAAAGTCGGACATTGCCACCTGATAGTATGATAGTGTGGTTTAGGGTCATATCATATCATAGGGTCACTGTCCTCGACATGGGATTCCCGTGATCTTCTATTTGCATATGCGTTGTGTCCAAAGTCAACTGTGTAAGGTAACATTGGCCAAGCAAAGATTGCCGATAATGAGTGGAACTTATTTACTTACGTTTATTACCATCTTATAAAGAACGTTTGTTCTGTCACAGAGCCTCTCTTTTGTAAGGAGGATATTATCGAATTGTTTCAAATTAATTTGGCATTGGATTGTCACATACATTGCATACAGAGATAAATAATAGTTGTTGCAACTTTCAAAAACTATCGGATTATATTTCCACCATGAGCACAAATGTACAACACGAATAGCCATATGATATTGCGCAAAGTTGCAATGAGGTTTTCTTTATTGTGAACAAACAGACAACATTCGGATGATTGAGAAACCAAACAGGGTGAACGACCGCATATCACTTTATTATCTATTGGTATACACGGTTAGTCAGCCATTCCATTAGGTGTACAGGTAATATCATAACTACATTGTATACAGCATTGTTTTTGTTACGAAAAGTTAAAATAACTCGGTCATTTCTCATTCCGTTTTTTCGGTTTACTCGATGGAGGTCTCACTTGTAGACAATTATCAAATATGCACTTTTGATATCTCTCAGGTTTTTGGTGAAAATATAATGCGATCTTTGAAAATATATGAAAGAGCTGTGATAAACTGTTTTTAATCAAGTACTATCTCAGCATTATATATATATGATATACAAGTCCAAAAATAATTCAAAATTAAAAAAACGACAACTTAAAACAATTAGACATATCTCTTTAACAAGGTCATCTATAACCATTTTACAATTGTGCAAACAACTGCCTCATAACTTTAATAATAACATGTTTTAGAGGTCACAATATCGACCGTGTAATTAAGTTTATTCAGTTCATGAATTCACGTGTCATCGTGGTCTAATTTTGCTGAAAACAGGAATATATTCAAAGTGCTTCATGGTAATATTGCATGACTACGCATGAAAACACGTTAGTAGTTGTTCATTTCCTTTGTCTTGCAGATGTTTCACCTATTGCGACTATGCTGTGATTCTCTCTTTTGTTCTTCTCGGTTTTTGAGGTGAGACAGTAAAATCAAATATTCAAGTTGATAGTTATTTGTTACGATATTAGAAGGTATTTCGTAATCGGTGTCATTTGCGATCACCGCTGCTCGCGAAAACATTAGTTTACAGTTTTTAGATCTTTTATAACTGACTTTATAATTCCACCAACAATTGTATACCCTTGCACTTGTTTATGTTTTGTGCGCATGCGCGCGCAGTGAATGATTGGCAAGAACCAGTCATTCGCTCCAAAGATAAAATATGTTGAATATACATGTACGTGTTCCTGTTAATAAAACAACTTATATGTAATGTTGTCGCCGCAGATTGCGATTCAGTGTTGATCAGTGAGCATGCTAGCTGGCGAAAATGTAAACATATGACGTCACAGTGTGACAGTCAGTTTTTAACAAATCCGAAATTACTCGGAATTTGTTTTGCAATGCGTACTGTAGATGTACAGTACACACATGTACGATATCATTTAATGATAGCAAGAGAATCTATTATATAACCTGGACGAAAGAAATTATGCTAATTATTTTTTATTCAGCTTTTTTACCTTCAACTTATTTTTCACAAAATTATTCAGGCTATTCAGGTTTTCAAATTGACAACCCCTTGTTGTAAATTTACTTATTGTAACATCATAATATTTCAGAGGTTTGTAATTTTTTTTAGCAAATCTGCACCAATTTCTGGAATGCTGTATGTTGCTGATTACTGACTGCCTGTGATTCTGTGAATGAATGAATGAATGAATGAATGAATGAATGAGTGTCAATCTAATGTCATATACATTCACGTTAATACACATTCACAATGGTAGGCACTGGCGTTTGTGGACAGCGACGGATGTGGTGATACAAAAAGCTGCTTCCAGGATCCCCCGTACTGCGAGACAGCCGATTGTGACGTATTGATTACGTGGCACAAAGGTACATACGCCGATACTACTGAATTCAGGCTTTTAGGAAAGTTTTTAGAAACGGAGCATTATATTGCTATTTACATACAATAAGAAGATGGTTAGTGTTCCCCTTGTGAAGATCTTACTGTATATCAAATTTTATACGTTTGTTTTTTACCATTCAATGGAGACACTGGCATTGATTGTTTGCGAGCAACGTATACTGACCGAATTTCATGGAAAATACATTAATTAATATAAAATGGATACAAATAGTTCAAATAATAGTGTATTTTACCATGGTATATTAATTTTATTATTGATTGATTTCCGTTCTCCCAGTTTGATACTGATGCCTGG